AGTACCTGTGGGCTCCAGAGGCCCTGAGCCTGGTCTGGATTTAGGATTCAAGGCACGCAGTCACACTCCACGCACGGGTGGGAGGCCGGGACTTGAACTCCAAAAGCTCTACTTCCTTTTCCCCGAAAAGTGTAATTGCATGGAGACTGAGTGTTGGGGTTTGGAGATATCTCAGCGTTCATGTCGTCCTTCACCAGGACTCTTCAAGAAACCCGCTGTCCTGAGTTATAGACCTGCTGGGAGGCAAATGCATATGCATATTTTGTACACAGAAGAGCAGCGTGGGACATTGCAAAGACCTGGTATTGCCTCAGGCCGCCTGGGTGAAACCAGCCCCAGCAGTGAGTCACACATCCTGCGGCAGGAGCTCGCAGAGGAGAGGGAGGCTGAGGAGGAAGGGAGAGAGAAACTCAAGTCTGAGTCAAGAGTTTCTGGAGGTGGTGGCGTTGGCTCAGGTTCCTTTTTTCTTTTTGAGATGGAGTCTTGCTCTGTCGCCCAGGCTGGGTGAGTGGCGATCTCGGCTCACTGCAAGCTCTGCCTCCTGGGTTCACGCCATTCCTCACCTCAGCCTCCCAGGCTGTACAGGCGCCTGCCACCGCGCCCGCTAATTTTTTGTATTTTTAGTAGAGACGGGGTTTCCGTGGTCTCGATCTCTAACCTCGTGATCCACCCGCCTCGGCCTCCCAAAGTGCTGGGATTACAGGTGTGGGCCACTGCGCCTGGCCTGGCTCCAGTTCTTGATGAGGAGAATCTCTAAGGGAGTGGGTGGGTGGGGGTTACCGTGCAGGTGGGGCAACCTGAGGTCTGATGTTGTTCATCCAGGGAACCACACCCTCCATAGCAGAGGCACCCCGCTTGGTGTCATGATCGTTGGGGGTGACAGTGAGACAGAGGAGCAGCCGCATCCTGTGGTGCCAAGGACACACCTGCAACAATCATGAGAGACCTTCTACCCCATGAGCCACTCGCACATCTCCAAAGCAGAGGCATTTCCGGAGTGATGTGGGCGTGGCGTCTGCCGCGAGGCCTGCCCCCCAACCCCACCTGCGCAGTTCTGGGCTTGGCAGGAGCGTCTTACTGAAATGGTGCTTTTCTGGTTCTGCAAGCTTGCGCTGCCTCAGGGAACCTGCTGAGCAGGACGTGGAAGGCCAAAGGCTGCCCGAGGCCCTTGCTTCACCTGCTGGGAGGGACCTGCCCAGGCTAAAGTGTGCACCGTAGGCTCACTTGGCAGTAAGTGACCAAGGCCGGCGTACCACTTTCCAAAGATCATCCTGACCAAGCAGACCTGTGAAAAGTGTTGGCAGGGACCTGTGGAGGCTGCAGGGCCATGCCAGAACCATCTGGGAAGGTGGCAGCCAGGAAGGTGCTGTGGGAATACAGTGGTCTCCCCAGCCAGGCCCTGCTCCCAGCACTAAATCCTCTGCCTCCTGAGCAAGTAGATCTGGCATTTCTTCGGAGGCTTGTCTGCTCCTGTCCACTCCTGTAGTCACAGGACACTTGGCTGAGTGTCTCACTGACAACTGCTCAGGCTGCCTGGCTGGCTTCACCTTCACACCCTGGCTCAAGCCCAGGCAGAATAGAAACTGCGGCCACCTCCACTGCCGTCTATTAGGCTTGAGGCTGGCGAAACGGAGCTGCCTTCCTCTCCAGGTCTCTAGCACCTTCCAACCGCAGTGACTTTGGCACCCAGGAGGTGCTTGAGAGAAAGTTAGTGGGGTAAATGCATAAGTTCCATTTCTCTTAGCTTCAAAATGGATATCAATGAGCTATCAGGCCCCCAGACATGGAGGAGCATTAAGGACATGTGCTAAGTGAAAGAAGTCCATCTGAAAAGGCTGCATACAATAGGATTCCAGCTCCACGACATTCCGAAAGGGCAAAACCACAGAACAGTGAAAGGACTGTGGGAGGGAGGGAGGATGAACAGGAGGCACGGGGACTTTTCAGGCAGGGGACGCGCAGCACTGCTTGACATCTGCAGTGGTGGCTCCATGTCACCATGCACTAGTCAAACCACGAATCACAACACCAAGAGGAGCCCTCCTGGAGGCTGGGCTGTCCCTAACAGTATCGGTACTGACGTGTTATTTTTTTCCGTTGTCCGTCAGTCCTAACAAATACACCACACGAATGCAAGATGTTAACAGCGGGGGAAGCGGCAGTGGGAGAGGGTGACTTCATAACAGTAATAGGATGGCTGGGTCAAATGGTATTTCTAGTTCTGAAATAGCACACCTGCTCCATTTCCTCTAAACCTAAAACTTCTTCTAAAAACCAAAGTCTAGCCAAGAAATGGATATTCATATCTATCAGCTCTGTACCTTCTCCAGAAAACAAAAACCTCTGTCTCGGAATGTTGAAATCATTATAAAGTGGAACAGATTAATGAATGAGAGAGGAGGAAGTCAAGAGAAATAAATGTTAGTTTAATGTAACTTTCTGACCCAGTGGGGCATGGTGGCACATGCCTTTAATCCCAGCTACTCAGGAGGCTGAGGTAGGAGGGCCAAGCCTTGAACCCAGGAGGCAGAGGTTGCAGTGAGTAGAATGCATCACTGCACTCCAGCCTGGGCGACAGAGTGAGACTCAGTCTAAAAAAAAAATAATAATAATAAAATAAAATTAGAAAATTAGGTTGGGGCCACATTGTGCATGGTCTTGAATATCATTTTTGAGGATTCTGAATTTAACTCAATAAGTATGAAAATGTAAAAAACAGTCCAGGCATGGTGGCTCATGCCTGTAATCCCAGCACTTTGTGAGGCCAAGGCGGGTGGATCACTTGAGGTCAGGAGCTTAAGACCAGCCTGACCAGCTGTGGGTACAGAAACCCGACTACTAAAAAATTACAAAAAAATTAGCTGGGCATGGTGGCACATGCCTGTAATCCCAGCTACTCAGGAGGCTGAGTCAGGAGAATTGCTTGAACCTGGGAGGCAGAGGTTGCAGTGAGCTGAGATCACACTACTGCACTCCAGCCTGGGCGACAGAGGCTTGTTTTGGGTGACTGGGCGACAGAGGTTTGTTTTGTCTCAAAACAAACCAAGGCATAACAACAACAAAAACAGAATAATGACACAATTAGATCTGTGTTTTTGTGCAATGTAGAAGATGAATTAAAACATGGAGAAATTAGACAATTTCTTGGGAGGCTACTGCCAGGGTCAGACAAAAGATTGAGAACATTTCTCAATTTTGAAAGAAGACACACACAAGTTGGGTTATCTGGAAGCAGAGAGGCTGGGACAGAGTTTGAGGTGCAAGATGCTTACCAGGAGGAAGAAGCAGGGCTGAGCTAAGAGAGAAGTCAAACTGCAATGCAGATCTGACAAAGACCCAGCCTCCCTGGTAGGGGAGCTCCTGGAGTGAATATTTCCAGCCTGGCCAGCCCTTTATCAAGCCAACTATTCTCAGAGCTGTCCTGCAGTTGGCAAAATGGTCAAACCTTTATACCCCTGCCTTGCTCAGGTACCAGAGTGAGGCAGCTCTGGGATGGACATGATCTTGTGTGTAGGACTGTCCCTCTACAGCTGAAGCAGACATTGGAAAGAAAAGAACTGAAGTGGCGGAAGTTGTCTGCTAGCTATTCCCCCTAGAGCTGAACAGCAAGTCTTTTTTTTCTTATTTATTTATTTATTTGAGATGGTGTTTCACTCTTGTTGCCCAGGCTGGAATGCAGTGGCAAGATCTCAGCTCATTGCAACCTCCGCCTCTTTAGGTTCAAGCGATTCTCCTGCCTCAGCCGCTGCTAGTTGCTGGGATTACAGGCGTGCACTATCACCGCCCAGCTAGTTTTGTATTTTTAGTAGAGACAGGGTTTGCCATGTTGGCCAGGCTGGTCTCCAACTCCTGACCTCAGGTGATCCCCCCACCTCGGCCTCCCAAAGTGCTGGGATTACAGGTATGAACCACCATGCCTGGCCAACAGGAAGTCTTTCTTTGGAGGTAGAACTGGGATAGTACACCTTCATGTTTACCACAAAGAAAGAGAGGATGCACTGTGTGGTGTGTATAGTGTGTGCGGGGTGTGTGTGTGTGGTTTGTGTGCCGCGCACCGTGTGTGTGGTGTTCTGGTCAGTGTGCCTGTACCTGCTGTGTGCTGCTGCTGCCCTTCCAGTGCACCCGTTCCTCATCCCTCCTCCCCCCAGGGACACCTCAAGCCCTGTGGAGCCCTCAGTGGGCAGGGGGACAGTGGGGACAATGGAAGGACCTGGACAGCAGCAGAGGGACCTGGGGGCTGCCGTAGGCGGGGACTTACCAGCCCTGGAGAGAATGACTGCATCAAGAGGATTCAGGGGTGTCTGGAGCCCTGAGCAGGAGCCCTGGGCAGGACCCTTGGCTGGGGACACTCCTCCTTGCCTTCGGGGGTGCCTTGGGGTCTGACTGCACTCTGCCTTCTGAGTCTCTGCCTCGGCTGGAAGGCTCTGGTCCACAAGCCAGCGGGCTGAGACAGAGATTTATTCCCTTACAGCTCTGGAGGCCAGAAGTCCAAAATCAAGATGTAGCAGCGCTGGTCCCTGGGAGGCTGTGCCGGAGAATGTGCTCTGGGCGTCTCTCCCGGCTCCTGGCGGCGCCACAGTCTTCCCTGATCTTGGCTTTCGAAGGCATCCCCTAGCTCTCTGCCTCACCTTCACAGGACTTCTCCCTGTGCCTGTCTGTGTCCAGGCTTCCCCTTCTATAAGGACACAGTCCTATTGGATCAGGGCCCACTCTAATCACCTCTTCTTCACTAATTACATCGGCAAACCCCCTATTTCCATGTTAAGTCATGTTCTGAGGTTAGGATTTCAATACCTGAATTTTAGGGGGCATAGTTCAGCCCAAGGGACCTGGGGGGACAGAAACACCCAGAAAAGGCCACAGGTCAGCGCCTGGGCCCACCTGACTCTGGGACATTGCTTGGCCGAGTTTATCCTCATAAATGCTGACGTGTGCTAGAAGACACAATATTGGTTTCATAAACAACAGTATTTTTTTTTTTTTGCAAACGATACCCACAGGTCCTATTGCCACTTTTCAGCGCTGCAGCAGCTAGTCAGATGACAACTGGGTGAGAACTTGGTCTCGAGTGTTTCCTGTGAGGCCGGAATATTGCTCTGATTCCTCAGGGGCAACTCAGCACTCCAGTGGGAAATATGTGACCTCATTTGCATTTCCTAATTGAATTGCTATCAGCTTTCCTGCAAGACTGCACCAAAGAACAGTTCTTCCAGATTCCAGCACTGCCTGCATTGCCCACAGAAAGGCTGCTTTTAAATAGTTGCTAAGAGAGGGGGACAAAAGAAGGAGAAAAGTTGCCAAATTGTTATGGTTCATCTAACTGTAAAGCTGTCAGTTTTACCCAACTCCACAGAATTGCTAAAATAATGGACGGATGATGCTGCACTTGAAGAAACCTCTACATAAGAGAAATGAAATTCACAGAACCAGGAAATTAGGGGTCCCCGTGTGCCTGCCCTGGCAGAATTTGCTTCCAGGCTCCTCTCAATAAACACTGCCCTGGGACTCCTAGCACTCTGTAAACTGATGCTTTGAAGGAGTCCATTTGTTTCTCCAGAAACTTCCTCCAGCAGAACTCTTGCTCACCACGTGCCCCCATCAGAACTCCCACCTTCTCCAAACACAGTCAGATAGCCCTCTGCATGCATTTGTTTTAAAAAAAACTAAATTGTGAGTGATAGTATAAGCACCACAGCATACAGAGCATCAGCTAAATAAATGATGGCAGAATGAGCACCTGTCTTGCCACAAGGCTCCCTCCAACCCTCTGGTGTCCCCTAGCATGGCTTCCTGCTGCCCCCGAAGGGAACCCTCAACTGACTGTAACTGTGCACCTCAGTGTCACCCGAATTTGGATTTCCTGGGAGTGTGGTCACTAGGCTGGCACGTGTTCCTGCGCCTGGCACCTGCCTGCTTTCCTTCCTTGATCTGTTTGTGAGATTCGCTGGCTTTGTTGCTTCTAGCTGCAGTTTGTTCACCTTTATTACTGTATAATATTCCACTTTAGGAGCCCACTGCAATTTATTGACCCATTCCAATGGCGAAGGCATGTGTGTTGTTTCCAGCTTTTGGTGATTATGTGTAAGGCTTCTCTCAACGTCCTGTACAGAGTTCCTGGTATTACCTGCCTATACTGCTATGGGGCATACACCAAAAACGCAGCATATATATATATATTTGACTTTCATAGTAATTCTGAATTGCTGTCTGAAGTGTTTGTGCCATTGTACACTCCCATCAAGAGTATATGAAAAGGCCAGGCAGGGTGGCTCACACGTGTAATCCCAGCACTTTGGGAGGCCAAGGTGGGAGGACTGCTTGAGCCCAGGCGTATGAGACCAACCTGGGCAACATGGTGAGACCTTGTCTCTACAAAAAGTTTAAAAATAACCAACCCACCAACCAACCAACCAGGGGTGATGATGCATGTAGTCCCAGCTACTCAGAGGCTGAGGTAGGAGGATTGCTCGTGCCCAGGAGTTTGAGACCGCAGTAAGCTAAGAGGGTGCCACTGTGCTCCAGCTTGGGCCACAGAGTGAGATCCTGTCTCAAAATAAAAACACACAAGTGAAAAACAGTATTTGAAAATTCCACTTGCTCCAGATTCTCACCAATACTTAGTAGTACAAGTCTTTCCAGTTTTTGCCATTCTGATTGCCCTGCTGAGGTTGAGCCAGTCTTATTTATTTATTTTTTTGAGACAGAGTCTTGCTTTATCACTTAGACTGGAGTACAGTGCCATGATCTTGGCTCACTGCAACCTCTGCTTCCCTGGTTCAAGTGATTCTCCTGCCTTAGCCTCCCAAGTAGCTGGGACTACAGGCGCCCGCCACCACACCTGGCTAATTTTTGTATTTTTAGGAGAGATGGGGTTTCACCATGTTGGCCAGGGTGGTGTTGAACTCCTGACCTCAAATGATCCTCCTGCCTTGGCTTCCCAAAGTGTTGGGATTACAGGGGTGAGCCACCGTACTCGGCCTCTGTCTTACATTTATCCACCATGACGCACTGCTGTCTGGTGATCAGCCTGTTTAAGCCTCTCATCCATCTTCTGTCTGTCTGTAGGTAGTGATCTGAGGTTCTCTACATGTTCTGGGTGTGAGTCCTCGGTTCATAACTGAGTGCTGCAAATGTCCTTTCCCAGGCTCTGCCTTATTGTCTCATTTTTAAGATATATGTTTTGATGATCAGAAGTTCTTTTTTTTTTTTTTTTTTTTTTTTTTTTTGACAGTCTTTTGCTCTGTTGCCCAGGCTGGAGTGCAGTGGCATGATCTCGGCTAACTGTAGCCTCCACCTCCCGGGCTCAAGCAATTCTCCTGTTTCAGCCTCCCGAGTAGCTGGGATTATAGGCGAGCACCACCATGCCTGGCTAATTTTTGTATTTTTAGTGGAGACAGGGTTTCACCATGTTGGCGAAGCTGGTCTTGAACTCCTGACCTTAGGTGATCTGCACACCTTGGCCTCCCAAAGTGCTGGAATTACAGGCATAAGCCACTGCGCCTAGCAGAAGTCCTTATTTTTAATAAAGTCCAGAGATCATTCTTTCCCATGTTTTGTGCTTCACGTGCCATGTGCGAGGAAGCTTTCCACACCCCGGGGTCACATCACTCCCAGCTGCATTGCCTTGCCTTTCATGTTTAGATTTTCCGTCTACCTCAAATGGATTTTGGGTGTGGTGTGAGGTAGGGGTCATTTTACTTTTTTCTTAAAGATGCCCCATTGGCCCAGCACCATATGTTGAAAAGACAGTCTTTCCTCCATTGTTTCAGTAGAAATGGGCAAACTTTCCCCCAGATGGCCAGATCGTTAAATATTTTAGGTATCTCAGGCTAAGGGGCAAAATTGAGGACATTGTATAGGTACTTACATAACCCTTTAAAATGGAATCATTTAAAAATGTAAAAACCATTCTTAGCTTGCTGGCCATAAAAGTCCTGTGGGCTACAGCAGCTGGTACCTGCTCTACAGTACTGCTCTTATAATAAAAAATCAAGGGTCCACACCCTGGGCATTTGACAAGGCTTATCAGATTGTAAAGATGAACTGGGTGGATTTTGTAGTATAAAAGTTATACATCCATGAAGCTGATTTTTAAAAACATTACATATCTTTTTCTGGGCTCACTATTTTTATTCCAAGTGTCTATCCAATCGTCTTTGCTCCAAAATGACACCATTTTAATGGCTGTAATTCAGTGGTTCTCAAAAGGGCAGTCTTGACCCCCAAGGGAACATTTGGCAGTGGCTGGAAAGAGCTTGGGTTGCATATGGAAGTTATGGGCTTCATCTGGCATCTAGCAGGTAGAGGCCAGGAGTGTGGCTTACTATCCTGTAGCACACAGGACAGCTCCAACAACGTGTCTGGAAGGACCTGTCCTCCCATCTTTTTCTTGTTCTAGGCTACCTTCGCCTTTTCCATTTCCATTAAAAAATTTTAAGTCGGCTCTTTACTCTTCCCAAAACGAGCAAACAAAAAATCTGCTGGAATTTTTATTGAGGTTGTGTTGACTCTATGGCAACTTTGGGTAGAATCAATATTCTAACATAAGCCTTCCAAGTTATGAGCTCGGCATATCCTTCCATTTTTATAGGTCTTCAATTTTTTCAACAAAATGCAAGAAGTCTTGTACATTTTTGTTAGATTTATTCCCAGTTATATGATCATTTTTAATGCTATTGTAATTGGGATCTAGTTCAGATTTTATTTTCTAATGATTTATTCCTGGTACATAGAAGTACAACTGTTATGTCTAGCACCCTTGCTAACCTTACTCATGAATACCAACAACTTAGCACAGGTTCTTTCAGGACAGATTACATTTTCTAACATTCATAATCATATAAGCTACAAATAATGTCAGTTTTATTTATTCTCATTTCTTTTTCTTGCCTTACTGCATTGGCTTGTACCTCCAGTGTGTATATCCTCACTATCAGGATTTGGGAAGACAAAACTTTGGGGAAGCAATTCCTCTTGTTATGATCTTTGGACAGGTTTGTGTAAGATTTGTTTTAATTTCTCCTGACAGCTTGGGTAGAATTTACTAGTGGAGCCAACAGGTGTGGACATTTCTTTGTGATAAGGATTTTAGTTTTAATTTTGTTTGTAACAGTAAAACAGTTCAGGTTTGCTTTTTCTTATGTTAGTTTGGTAAGGTGTATATTTCTATACTATTGTCCTTTTCATGTATATTTTTAAGTGTGTTGGTATAAATTGTATATAATATCCTCGAATGATCTTTCTGATGTCCACAAGATTAGTCACGATGTCATATTTTCATCCTTGATAAGGATTGTTGCAGTTTATACTTTTTCTTTTTACTCAGTCTGATCAGCCTCGTAGTTTAAAGGATGAACTTAGTTATTTCTATTGTTTTCTGTTTCATTGTTTTCTCCTCCTGTGTTAACAATTTCTTTCTTTAGACTTTGGGTCTCATTTTCTATTATTTTTATAGTTTCTTGAGATGAATGCCTGGATTGTTGATTTTCTGCCTTTTTTTTTCCCCCTTTTTTTTTGAGGTAGGGTCTCGCTCTGTTGCCCAGGCTGGAGTGCAGTGGTGCAATCTTGGCTCACTGCAACCTCTGCCCCCTGGATTCAAGCAATTCTCCTGCCTCAGCCTCCTGAGCAGCTGGGATTACAGGGATGCACCACCACGCCTGGCTAATTTTTGCATGTTTGGTAGAGACGAGGTTTCGCCATGTTGGCTGGGCTGGGCTCCAACTCCTGACCTCAGGTGATCCACCTGCCTTGGCCTCCCAAAGTGCTGGGATTACAGGCATGAGCCACCATGCCCAGCAAATCTTCTGCCTTCTTTATCTTGTAATATATGTATTTAAGGCTAAATATTTCCATCTGGGCATGACTTTAGCTACATCCCAGTAGTTTTATTACTCAGTTCAAAATATTCATTAATTTCCATGTGATTTTTTTTTTTCTGCCCAAGGGTTAATGAGAAGGCTTTTACTTAACTTCCAAATCTATGGGGATTTTCCAGTTATGTTCTTTGTTATTGATTTCTAGTCTACTTGCTCTGAGTTAAGAAAACAAACTATGTTTTGATTTTAAACCTTTGAAGTATGTTGCGAATTGCTTGAAGGCTATGAAGTATGTTGGGACTTGCTTGGTGAATATTTGTAAATGTTCTGTCTATACTTAAAAATCATGTGTATTTAGCAGTGGCTGGTTTCTGTGCTTTTTATACCTCTCTGTAAAGCCAGATCTGTTAATTGTGCGATTCTAATCTCTTTCCTTACTGGTATCTTCTGCTTGTTCTATTATTCGCTAAGAAATTTTGTTAAAATTTATCACTGATTGCATAGTTATTTCTCCTTTTATTTCTACCAATTTTGGCACAAATATTTTGAAGTCATATGAAACGCACACAAATGTAGGATTCCTGTATCTTCTTGGTGAATTGTTTGTCATTATGAGGTGTTCCTCCTTGAACAGAATGCTTTGTCCTCAGATTCTATTCATCTGATATTAACAGAGTCCACTAGCTTCCTTTTGATTGATACTTGCATGGTATTTATTTCTCTAAGATTTTACTCCTAACCTTTAGCTTTATACCTTTCAGATGTATCTTTTATAAGCTGCCTATAGTTGGATTTATCTTTATCCATCAATTTATTTTTTAACATTACAACAAATATATTTTCGTTTGCTATAATTATAAATATATTTGCAAATCTGCCATCTTACTCAAAGAGAAAGGTATAGCCCATCTCTTCCATTTTCATTTCTCTTTTTTGCATTTTTTGGCT